TTAACAGGAGAGATTGAGGGAGTCCTACTTCAGAATATCCCTTAAATCACTACACTACAAAGTTTTGTCAGCAAAAGTTATGCCACTTTAATCAAAGCACTTTAATTAAAATCGCTGTCGCATGTCCACACTAGCTCCTTATGTCAGCAGAGTGCATCCACACTAGCAACTCTTGCATCGACACAGAGCAGTGCACTGTGGGTAGCTGCCTCACTGTGCAACTGGCCGCAGGGTGCTTTGGGAAGGATTTGCAATTTCTCAAGGGGCAGGTACAGCATCTGATGTTGCAGGTTTCTCAATCCATCATTCCAGGGGCATCCTAGTAGATTGTCAGCTGCTTTTTCAACCGAGGTATGTGGGGGGAGGAAGAGGCGAGTGGTGTGTCTGGCGCGGGGGAGACAGTAGGCTGACCGACCTATCTTGAAAGAGAGGGAGGGGGACACCCCCTCCCCATGTCAGCCCCCAGCTCTGCTCAGCACAGCAGTCTTTCCCAATCAGCCTGCTCTGCCTGCGGTACTGCAATTCCTTCCAAGTTCGGGGAGCAGCATCCTGAGCAGCTCTGTGAGCTCTCCGTGCTGAGGAATGTCAAAGCAGCACAGCAGTCTTGTCGTCCTGCCCCAGCAGGCCACTGTGTTCCTAGAACAGAGTAGAAAAGGAGCATTCCAGATTAATTATTTGCTCTTTGTTCCTGGAGCAGAGCAGCACTCTCAGCTGTCTTGTACTTCTCAGAACTTTGAAAGGGGAGGGGCGAAAGCCTACAGGGCAGTGGAGATCAAAACTGTGAGCATAGTGGTCATGACAGGCATTGTGGGATACTGGTAGAAGCCAGTTAGAATCATGAAATATCAGAGTTGGAAGGCACCTCAGGAGATCATCTAGTCCAACCCCCTGCTCAAAGCAGGACTCATCCCCAATTATTTTTGCCCCAGATCCCTAAATAGCCCCCTCAAGGATTGAACTCACAACCCTGGGTTTAGCAGGCCAATGGTCAAACCACTGAGCTATCCCTCCCCCTGTGACTGTTACTACTTCACTGTTTACCTCCTTATTCAAATCATTAAGTTAAATACCAGATCTAGGTTGGATTGGGAATGGATCCTTTTTGGATCCATTGGAGGTCGACAAAACAAACAGCAGTGTCTACACTGATGCTTTGTCACTAACTTTGCCACAAAAAGTTTTATGCCTCTCGTTGAAGTGGTTTTATTTTGTCAGCAAAACAGCAGAGTTTTGCCACCAAAAGTAGCTTTGTAGTTTGTACCCCTTCCCTGTTTTGTTGGCAAAAGGCAGCTTTTGCTGACAAAACTTTATCGTGTAGACAAAGCCTCAGTGGTTAAAGCACCGTGCTGAGAGGTAGGTGGGCCCTGTTTATACCCTTTTGACAGGTCTGGCAGAGAAAGGGGAATTGAACCTCAGTCTCCCACATCCCAGGCAAGTACTCTAACCACGAGGATAAAAACATTTAAGGTGGGCACTGTGGGTGGAATGCTAAGCAGAGCCATGTTTCCTCTCTGCAGCCTGGACTCAGGTTCCTATCTCTGAGAGAGTGGTGGGGCTTAGCACATACCCCTTTCTTTGGCATCTCCCACTGGCTAGTTTAGGCATCTCCCTGCCAAAAGTGCTTGCTTTTGTGGATCATATTCTTAGGCACCTATCTCTCCCCTTTCACATAGGAAGCTTAGGCTCCTAACTCAGTTTTGTGGATCACAGTGTTGTTCCTAAAAAGAAAAGGAGTACTTGTGGCACCTTAGAGACTAACCAATTTATTTAAGCATAAGCTTTCGTGAGCTACAGCTCACTTCATCGGATGCATACTGTGGAAAGTGTAGAAGATCTTTTTACATACACACAAAGTGTTGTTCCTGTGATTTTTCTAGGTTCCTAAAAGTTAGGTGTTGTAATGCTGAGCATCATGGTGTCTAAGTCGTTTTGTGAAGCCCATTCTTTCTATAACTTAACCCTAAGAGGATTTAAACCTCTTTACTGGGCTAAGAAAAGCCCTTCTTATTGGGACTGCCTGAGGAGTCAGACTTAGGGATTGGAGCTAACACCTGTGGTCTATTAGATGGCTAGATGCTGCATCCAGCAGCTGTACCTCATGAGCAGGGAGGTTATAAAATGTTTAGGAGTGCAGTGGACTCAGAAAGAGTAGAGCTTCTTTCCAGTCAGGAACAATCATAGGCTGTGGACAGATTGGATCTCTCTCTTTATTCCTCCAGACAAAGGAGGGTTGGGATTATGGTATCACCCTGCCAACAGAGGAAATCTTGGTTGACTGTTTGATTAAACCACCTTGTCAGAAGACAATTTAAAGATTATTTTTGGATATACAGCCTGGAGAGTTGGGTGGTGCAGGAAGTTGTTGTTTTGTGAATGTGTTTTGGTTTTCTTTTCTATCCTTGTTTAAAGGATGACCCAGGACCCAGTTCTAAGTGGAATAGCAGCAGTGTTCTGATGAGCCCTCAAGCCAGGGGAATTTTGGAGGTTTGGTTAAAGTGCTAAGAACTACAAAAATGGAAAGAAAATTGAGTGGGTGCGGAAGAGAGTTATTCACATGAGAGAATGAAAGTGGAAGATGGGAAGAGTGAATACGGACTAAAAAGAAATGGGGAAATAAAAATAGAAGCAATGTCATACAAAAGTAAGGTAATTAACTTTTATTAAAGTTCCTTAATGACCTTTCCTTGGCAGAAGAGGGGAAAGACTGATTGTCAGGGAGAAACTTCAAGTCAATTGCAGAATAGTGAGCGACCATGTAACCTGGAGGAGTGTTGGTGGTCATGAGATAATAGAAATGTACAAGCAACTTAGCTGAATCTTCAAAAAATATTTTGTCCTAGTTTTTTTATTCCCTCTCCTCCGATCTTACAGGATCTGTTTATCTGAGGAAGTTGCTAGCTAGTGGAACAGATAAAGGCATGAAAGCCTCAAGAACTACCTCCTAAATTGCCTGTTCAATAGTGCAGTCCTGCTGCCATGTCTCCTCCAAGCCCTCCCTTTGAACCCTGCACTGCACAAGTCCTCAAGCAAGCTGATTCTCACCAAATAAATATAGTCATGTATTTGAAATATTATTTGTTCTGTCTCTAGCTGCTGTTGCAAATGGTAAGTCTACAGATGCTCTGTTTGTAATTTGTGTCTGTTGCAGCCTGGGCCGGTGACTAAGCTTCTCTTTTTTTTCTTGCCAAGGTGAGTGTTGGATAATGGCAAGGTAAGGAGGACAAAAAGGAGATTGCTCTAGGATGGAAAAACAGCAAGAGTGAGCAAGATAAGGAGAGAATGGGAAAGGGAGTATGAGAGAAAGGGGGAGGAATAGACAAAAGGAAGTGTGAAAGATGTAAAGAGGAACTTAAGACTAGACAGTGCAGATAAAGGAGGAAGGCAACAAGAGGAGAGAGCCAAAACTAGAAGAGTAAGAAATAATTCAGGACTTGAACCAGGAAATACTTGTTTAATAAAAAAAAAGGCTTGCAAATACAGCCTAGAAAATATGGAAAAGGTTTTGGGACTGGGATAAAGCACAAAAGCAAATACAGAGGCATAAATGCCATTTTCTCTCACCACACCCTGTACTTAACTTGTTCTAAAGGGGGAAGGTGATCATGGGCAAAAAGGAATATTGGCTGGCTTGAAAGTAAGGAGGAATAGGCACCCAGTTGGTGATGCCAAATCATTTGTTGCTTCTCTTAAAACTCCAGCTCCTGGAGGCTTGTGATTAAATGAAAGCTGAGCTTTCATCTTAAAAAAAAATCTAGTCCTCCTGGTTGCAGAGAAAAGCTGAACTACATCCATCCTAAATTTTCAAAAAACAGAAAGCAAAATAAGACATCCTATATCTACTGTTTTTTAATCTTATGTTTTGGGCCTGACTCATCATTCTTGAACACCTGCAGTTGGCATTCTTTCCTCCCCTTTCTTCCCCATTTACTGATATCACAACACTCTCTCCTATACAGGGACCTATAATCTAGCTCCTTCCTCTCTCTCCAACAAGTGGCCTGTTCTTTGACGTAAATCTGGTCAAGCTAATTCTAGATCTTGCAGGGAAGCAGGTTTTTCAGCATTGCTAAATCCAACTGCTTAAAAATCATGAGTCTACCCCTTCTCCCAAATGAATAGGCTTTACCCTCTCCCCCCTTATGATTATTAAATAAAAAATGTTGGGTTATTTGCCTTCTGTTTTTTGAGCTAGTAAGGCACACCTGGATCACATTTTCAAGCTCTTCTCTGCCACCATGAGAATGAAAATGAAAGCTTGAGATACCACCTAACTATGAGCTTCCAAGTACAAGGCTTTTAAGAATCACTTAATATTGTGGCAGATCATAAAATTGAGAGTTGGTAACATTTTCAGGGTGCAATTCTGGGGCAGGTTGCACCCCTACGTGGGGCAGCATGGCTCAGAAGGTACGAACATTTGTTTTGAGCATAGTTTGTGTATCTGGCTGCTTGAGAGCAGCCCTGTCACAGTGAGCTAAGTGGGCAGTCAGGAGCTGAGCACAAGCGATTTATAGCAACTGTAGGCGAGCTGGTCCCCAAAATGGCTGCTGCTCTTCCCTGCTGGGGGGTATCGCAGTGAGGGGGGGGGGGCGATGTGTCCCTCCCCTTGCACCGTGGGGTAGTGTAGCTTCGGAGCCCCTCGCTAGAAGCAGGTCCGTGACGGTTCTGTGTAGCCAGGCCCGTGGGGAAGATTCACCCCTCCGCTTCCCTCCCTCCCTCCCGCTCCAACCGGCTTTCCCTGCGCATCCTCTGGCCGTTGGGCTCAACGGTTGCAACCCTGTTTGAAAGCCCGCGTGCCCACCGCAGAGCCCAAGAGCACGAGGGGAAAAGGAGGCCGCCTTATCCGGCACCTCGCGCTCACGAGCGCGTGATCCCAGGCCGAGGCCGGGCCAGAGAGCAAAGCGTGCGGCGCGCATGGGGACTGGCTGGGCGCGGCGAACGGAGTGGGCGGGGTTTGGGGGCAGCGGGCCCGTCCCCTGGAGGGGGCGGGTCCAAGATCACGTGGCCGGGGGGAAGCCATGGAGCGGGAGGACGGGGCGGCGATCGTGGGGCTCCCCTTCCCGCCCGCCGCCTCTCGGTCGCCGGCGAAGTTTGCGCTTGACCCCGCTGGAGCCGCAGGCATGGCGGCGGTGTCCTCCTACGAGAGCTTGGTCCATGCCGTGGCCGGGGCTGTGGTGAGTGCGGGGCGAGGCGCCCGGAGCGGGCAGGGAAGCGGGGTCTGAGTCCGGGGTCCTGGGCAGGGGCCCGCCAAGCTCCCCATGTCTCGCGCCGCTGCCCCTGGCTGCGCGGTGGCTCGCCGGGGGCGGGAGAGGACGTGGCGGAGGCTGGGGAACGGGCGGGACGGGGCTGTGGAGAGCGGCTCCTGCGTCCCAGGGCTAGTAGAAGTTGCTCTGTGGGCCCGCTCTGGAGGGCCTGAACGCCCAGGATTGGGCCCCACGTCTCTGGCTCCTGCTCGCCTCGCTGCGGGGCGGCGCAAATGTCAGCTGCCCTGCGGGCCGCCACTGCTTTGGTATCTCATATCAGGAGCAGCCAGGGCTGCGTTTTCCCCCGGCTGATGCACCGCCTGTGCTTGGGATGTGCCTTGCGTTTTCTTTCCCTTCCTGCCCGATTGGAACAGCAAAACGTGGAGGAGGGTAAACACAAGGTGTCTCCTCTCTGCTGCCCTCCTTCTTCACCTGTATGTGAGGACAGTAACGCCACTATGGCTGCACGTTGTGATGTCAGATTGAGCTTTACCTACTCTGAATTTGGTGAGAGCTGGCTGGTTATAAAGATAGCACCTGGAATATGGACATAAGCATGTTTGTGGTCTGAGCACAGGTCTTGAAGCCAGGAACTCCAGTCTCAATTCTCAAAAAGAAAAGGAGGACTTGTGGCACCTTAGAGACTAACCAATTTATTTGAGCATAAGCTTTTGTGAGCTACAGCTCACTTAATTCTGTCACTCATTCCTTTGGGAAAATTACTCTGGGCCGAATTTTCAAAATGCCCGCTAATTTTGCTTGCCTCTCTTAGAGTGATCAACGTGAGACACCCAGGGGATGACTTCCAGGCTGAGCACCTGAAGCTCCCACCAGAACCAATGAGGGCTAACTCGACACCTGTAAAAGTTAGCCTCTACAGATTTGGGCATGAGCTTGGGTTTCTTTTGCAGTGTACCCTACATGTTGTGATTTGAGCACCCAAAATTCGAAGAAATTTCTGAAAATTTGGGCCTTAAGCTGAGATGCATCTTAGATTCTGTAAATGAGGATCAGAATACTTACCTCCAAGTTACATGTTGAGAAGTAGCCTTGTCATATTTGTAAAGAGGAAAGCCACTATATATTTGAATGATCAGAAAATATATCAAACAAGTGCACTGCAGCTAAATGAAGTTTGGAAGAAAATTGATATAAACTTGTTGGAGGTAATGCCAAATTTGTGTAAGTTCCTTGGACTATTGGAGCCTGCCCTGGGTGGAAGAGAACTAGCTTTTATAAAGTATCAGAAGGGTAGTTGTGTTAGTCTGGATCTGTAAAAGCGGTAAAGAGTCCTGTGGCACCTTATGGACTAATAGATGTATTGGAGCATAAGCTTTCGTGGGTGAATAGCCACTTTGTCGGATGTGTCCGATGAAGTGGGTACTCACCAACGAAAGCTTATGCTCCAATACGTCTGTTAGTCCATAAGGTGCCACAGGACTCTTTGTAGCTTAAGGAACAGCATCTTGTCGCAACATCTTATCAATTAACCCTCCCTTGTTGGGAAGAGGGCCTTCCTGAGTTTCAAGCAAACTGATGTTCCCCTTAGGTTTCCCTGTGAGGTTGCTCAAGGTGTGGGAGTTGCCTGCCAGTCCCCAAGAACAAAAACAGCCTCAAACGTGTGCAGTAGCTGTGTTAGTAACCTATACTGCTCTTACATTCTGGCAAAACTTTCTGGTCTAATTAATGTGTCCTTAGATGACTAATGCATTCATCAGGTTTCGGAATGGTAGCCATGTAGTCTGTATCAGCAAAAGCAATGAGGAGTCCTTGTGGCACTTTAGAGACTAACAAATTTATTTGGGCATAAGCAAGATGGGTTTTAGCCCACGAAAGCTTATGCCCACATACATTTATTAGTCTCTAAAGTGCCACAAGGACTCCTCGAATGCACTCATCATGACTTTATAAAATTTTTTTATAGTAGTAGTTCTCACATTTAGTGTAGACAGGAACTTATTTTGGTAATGGTATTTCTGTGTATTTTCTGATGTGTATTTGGAATATACTAGGTGCTAACCCAGGGGTGGGCAAACTTTTTGGCCCAAGGGCCACATCTGTGTGGGGAAATTGCATGCAGGGCCATGAATGTAGGGCTGGGGCAGAGGGTTAGGGTGCGGGAGGGAGTGCAAGGTGTGGAGGAAGGGGCTCAGGGCAAGGGGTTGGGGTGGAGGAGGGGTGTGGGGTGTACAAGGGGGCTCGGGGCAGGGGTGCAGGAGGGGTGTGGGGTGCAGCAGGGGGCTCACAGCAGGGGATTGGGGTATGGGATGCAGGAGGGGTTTGGGGTGCATGCCGCATACCTGGAGTGGCTCTGGGGTGACAGCGGTGCTGCACCGCTAAGGCAGGCTTCCTGCACCACTCCTGGAAGCAGCCGGCACCACATCTCTGTGGCCCTGGGGGGGAGGGGCAGAGGGCATCCGATGAAGTGAGCTGTAGCTCACGAAAGCTTATGCTCAAATAAATTGGTTAGTCTCTCTATGGTGCCACAAGTACTCCTTTTCTTTTTGTGAATATATATCTGAATGTCTCATTGTAGCCATAATTGGTAGTTTTCTTAACTTCCTTACCTGAAATTTTTGTAAATTGAAAAATCATAAACTTTGATGTATACCTGTTTGTATCGGATTATGTCTCAGGCTGTTCAGTTTGTTTGCTAGGGTACTGTCACTGGAAAATGAGGACATGTGCTATAGGCACTAGGAGTTGTTGGCATGAATATGATTTATCATGTGGGAGTAACCTCATTTGTACAGGATTAAAGTACTATCCAGTCATTTTAAGAAAGTGTTTTATCTTTTGCACAGAGGTTTTAGTACTTGGGAAGAAATGAGAGGGTTTTATAGATTAGAACAAATATCTTAAATTAATGCAGAAGCAACTGACAAAAGCCCCTTGCAGTTCACGTAATACAAGTTTAATGTGGTTACCCCAACACACCTCCATTTTGAAGTGCCTTCAAAGTTAGCCTTCCCCTTCAATAGAGTGCATTGCAATAGTTCAACAACGGAATAGATGAATAAGGCCTTGTCTGCTAGGGGGAAAAAAATGTTAACTTGAGTTAAAGTAAAATTGTAGTGAAGACAAGGTAGTTTGCTGTCTTCACATAAGTTACAAGATCAAGTTACATGACCAAAGCCTGCATCACCTGTCTTTGCTCTGCTATATTTGCATATAGTCTTCTGTTGCATTCTCCCAGCAACAACCTGCCCTTGCCTTCTGGCAAAAAGCTGATGATTAATCACCCACCACTGCATCTCCTGCCCTGCATCTGCTTCCTGTTCCTGAAATGAGAGTTGTATTAATGCCAACAGTTGGAATAAATCATCATTCTCAGTTGAATCCATGCCTTGCTGCTTGTTTGAATGAAGGTCATAGACCAAAAGCTAGTTGCGCCAGACTGCAAGTGCTTTACATACTAAGTTTGTGAGTTAAGGCCGCTTCTGTGTAGGTATGCCAGAAGGACTGACAAGTTGTCTCACAGAACACTGTCATAGAACTCAGAGAGGCTTAGCTTCAGTGCTGCATAATACCTAGATCTAGACTGTTCTCAGTGGTAGCTGATGACAGAACAAGGAGTAATGGTCTCAAGTTGCAGTGGGGAAGGTTTAGGTTGGATATTAGGAAAAACTTTTTCACTACGAGGGTGGTGAAACACTGGAATGCATTACCTAGGGAGGTGGTGGAATCTCCTTCCTTAGATATTTTTAAGGTCAGGCTTGACAGAGCCCTGGCTGGGATGATTTAGTTGGGGATTGGTCCTGCTTTGAGCAGAGGGTTGGAATAGATGACCTCCTGAGGTCCCTTCCAACCCTGATATTCTATGGGATGCACTCGGAGAAGTTGCACTGCTACACCTGGGTGAGGGCACCAGCATGGACACAGACCTGGAATTAGGGTTTGCAATGCGGCAGCTCTTGAATGAGCCAGGCCAACTCTAGTGGTTGCACACAAGTACCAGTCATGTAAGTTAATTCTGCAGGGAAGACGTACCTGATCTTGAACTTGAGGCTTTAAGGGTATCAATTGATAAGATCATCATCAAGTGTGTTTTCCTCTTAAGGAAGGGCCTGTTCATTAAAGGTCTCCATTAATAATGACCTGAGACATTGCTCCTGGCTTTCACTAGTCATGAGGGATATGGATTCATTTCTCTCAGCATATTCTGTTGCTTCCTCAGCAAACATAGGATCTTTGTATATGAAACCAGCTGAAATACTGCTAGCTGAAATAGTGTGACTCTGTCTCTCATTATTTAGTTGATATCTATACTAATGCTGGAGATGGGGGAAGAGAGAACATACTTTCTTGGCTCTTAGCATCCTTGACTAGTTGCTTACAAATAAATTTTATATGTGATAGACTCAACAATTGACCATGGAAGAGCACTACTCTGGTAGCAACATAAATATAAAATTATACACAAAACCCTATGTTAAAAGACTATTAAGGCATAAGGGTGATGTATGCAACCCTCCGCTACATTGTGCATATGCATTATGATCTTTAATCCACAGGCCCCTACTTCATTTGGTGCACAAGATGGCTCGAATAAGCAGCTGTTCATATTTTTTTTCCTCCTCACTGATCAATGTGTGGTTTTAGGTCTTTACTGCATGCTGTTTAAACCCTGCTTTCAGTACAGAATTATCAACTAGTTAGTTTGTTTTTCTGTGGTACTCATCACTATAGTATGAGTTCTTCACAGACATTAATGGATTTATTTTCAGAACACACTGGTGAGGTGGTGGTATAACCATTTTAGAGATGGGAAACTGAGTTATAGAGAGAGAAGGTCAAAAGTGTCTACTAATTTTGGGTGCCCAACAGGGTGGATAAAAATTAGTGATTTAAAAAAAAAAAAAGGATTTTTTTGATAAAATGCTTTGAGGAAAAAACCTATCCAAAAGATAGTTTTAATTTAAGATACATTA